TTTGTATTCTAAGTACAGGGAGAAACAGCAGTAACTCAGACATACAAATTTGAAAAACACTGACTAATGCTGCCTCATTAATGGGTAAATCACTCTTTTCAGATTCAGGAAATCAGTTCTTAGGGAGACCTATAATACTTGGGAGATTTGCAGTCAACTTAAGATTTTTCCAAAGCAGCAGAAAAAGATATTAACATGGGAAGAATATATCTTGGATGATACTTCCCAGTTTCTGTTCCTCATTTGTCTCTTTGGAAAGTTTTGGAAAATCTTTACAGAATACCTTCAAATATATTTTTGTGTTGTTTCCCTGCTTATTTATTATAGGGAGCACATAGGAATGCATCTATGTACATTTACTGCTAGAGCCAATATACAATAGGCACTACTCCAAAAGTCAATGTATGACAACAGAGGCCATAGCAAAGCTATTTTGTATTCTAAGTACAGGGAGAAACAGCAGTAACTCAGACATACAAATTTGAAAAACACTGACTAATGCTGCCTCATTAATGGGTAAATCACTCTTTTCAGATTCAGGAAATCAGTTCTTAGGGAGACCTATAATACTTGGGAGATTTGCAGTCAACTTAAGATTTTTCCAAAGCAGCAGAAAAAGATATTAACATGGGAAGAATATATCTTGGATGATACTTCCCAGTTTCTGTTCCTCATTTGTCTCTTTGGAAAGTTTTGGAAAATTTTCTGTCCTTTCTTCATCACTGTCCATCTTTAGTTTCAAGAATGTCACAAGTCACAATCCAAACAGCTGGCTTCCCTCCTCCCCTTTGTGATGTGTTTGCAATGTGGCATTAAATCATGTCTGATGTGGACGGAAGGCAGCGCAAGGGAACTCGGAGCTTCTCCTCTTTAATGCATTCCCCCAGCTGCCAAGCAGCATGCTTTAAACTGGAAAAATACTTTGAGGAATTATTACCACAAGTCTGGCTTTGCTCCTGTTCCCTTCCCTAGGCACTCACTGCTGGCCACTGCTAGAGAAAGGGCATTTGGCTGGAAGGACCTTTGGATTGTGCTAGTCTTATTTTTTATGATGCTCATCAGAAAAAGTGGGAGATGAGAGTCAATTCTCTGCCCAAAGCCCTGAAGGGCAATGCTCCTGCAGCCCTTTCTGTGATTCCTAAAGCTTGAGAGAGGTTCTGAACCTGGAGAAAAAGATTCTTTTTGCTCCTTTTCAGTGTGCTGAGAACTACCTAACCTTGTCCTGTCGCTACCCAGCAGATGCCTTTTGAAACTCCACGGGGCACCTGTCAGCCTGGTCAGGTTTAGTCCAAACAACTGGCCATCTGGCCACTGTTACCCTTTACCTAGCCTCATATGGGATGTTAAGCTTGCAGCCAGCCACGTGGATATAATTACGAGGCCATCTACTACACAAGTGTAGCCCACTAGCTGCTTTGGGATACACAGCTTGTCAGGAAATCTTGTCCAGAATCCAGGATTTTGGGTCTGCTGATTAGGATGCTGGAGAAGGGGCAGATCTGAGACAAGAACCACTTCAGAAAACTGTGTCTGAGGCTGATGCTGCAGCTAGCAGGACAAGGTCACTCTGTCTTGATGAAAATGTAGCCAGAGGCTGGGCTGAAAGCCACCAAAGAGAAAGGTCTGGAGGACAAGGTGGCCTGTGCCTGTCGCTGCCGCAGGCTCCCAAGCTGTTTGCCTGTGTCCTGCTGTCTCCTAGTTCTGCTTCTAGCTCCCAGCTGACTTCCAGCTGTGCCCCAGCTCTGTGTGCTCCTTTAACAACCCCTTTCTGATAGCACTGATGCTTTTATTGGCCACAGACCTAAAGCTTGGCTTCCTACTCGCTGCTCCCTTGCCTTGCGGTCTGCCTTTTCCTTCCTCCATCCCTGACCGCAGCCCTCAGCTCCCAACCCTGCTCCACTGCCGGCCCAGTCTCCTGCTGCTGTCTAGCCCAGATCCTGTGGGTGCACTGAGTGGCCACAGGCAAGAGGCCCAAGCGCTCGCAGCCGGGGTGCTTGGCATTGCGGCGCAGCCCATGAGGGTGTTTTGGGGCCTTCATGTGTGGATAAGATCGGCCTAAAGCTTGAGCAAACTGAGGCTGAGAGAAAGGGCCCGGTGATCAGAAGATCTCGTGTAGGTGGCAGTTACAGTAAGAGCGACCGCTTAACCATATATAGAAAAGGCGCAGCCGCTTTCCCTCATCAGGTACCAACATCACTTACTGGTGGCAGAGCAAGCTTCCGTGTTTGAAAAGAGTATAACTGTAGTAAGCATCAAGCAATAAATGACACATTGGTGTCGCGTGGTTTGTCCCCTCGCGGGGTAGGATGGTCCCGGAGAGCCCGACCTCCAGGTGAACACACTGCGTTGTCGGGAGCTGAGACCGGAGACAGCAAACGGCAACAGGTGGTGACCCTGACGTGATCCCGGAGGTGGAGGATGCTGCAGGCAGCATGGAAGCCACGGTGAAGGTGATAAAGACCCTGGGCAAAGAATTTGGGACTTGTATCAAGTCGGCAGCCATCAGGGGGTGCCTGGATAAACTGGTCAGGCAGGGAGTGATTGGCTCCCCATGGCAGATTTTTTGGGAGGAAAACTCGGGTAAGATAAAGTCGGAGTTGACTCAACAAGCGATGGCCGGAAACGCAGAAGAGCTCGTGGTATTTGGGAAGATATTAGCGATCTTGGAGTTAACAAGGGAGGATCGCGAAGGGTGGCGCACAGCAAGAGTCTTTTTGGGACCTTCAGATAAAAAGGAAGACTGTGATCCCTTCAAGACCCAGGAGGGCCAAACGCAAACACCGGAGCAGGAGGAGGGCAAGAGGAGATGATAACCGCCTTCCCTACCAAAAGGGTCAAAGGGGGAAAGGTCGAGCAGGAAGGTCACAGTGAATCTCCGCCGTTATATCCTTGGGAGTAGCTCCAAGAGATGGAGAATGGAAGGGAGCATAAAAAGAAAGGGGAATTCAGGGAAGACCAGGAAAGAAGGATAAGGGAGTTGTTATTGGACTGGCTGCCCTGGCAGACCCTCCCAAGGCTTGAGGAGAAGGAAGAAGAAGGGGAAATGGCCGGAATTAGGGAAGAGGAAAACCGGCCCCCACCAGTTGCACCACCCCCACCAGTTGCACCATCTAAATCACGAGGGGCGCGGCAGGAAAAAGGAGATAAAAAATGGACGTGGCGCCCGACAGTGCCAGTGATAGAGGAGGACTCCTCAGGAGAGGAGAGCGAAAATGAGCTGAGTGTTAAAGGATCCGTAGACAGCAAGGAAAGGCCAACTGAAGGGGAAGTTTGGGCAAGGAAGTTGCAGCAGCTGCTTGCTGAGGTGGAGGGCATCCTCAAGAAACAAAAGGAGCAGATAGGTGAGCAGCTGGCGAGACTACCCGGCTTAGCAAAGGGTGGGAAAAAGGAGGCGGCGGAGCATGAGAGAGACCTACTGCTTACGAACTGGTGCTTGATAGCCAAAGAATGCGCCCTTGATGGATACGCCTGCAACACGGCATGTTCCCGCTGCGAACCACTCCGGGAGGCGGAGTGCAGTGGGAACCTTTGGACTCCAAGATGGTCCAAGGATTATATAAAGAAATCAAGGAAAAGGGCCTAGGGGACGAAGGAGTAACCCTTCTTTTAGATACAGCACATAACGCCCCTCTTACCCCAAACGATGCTAAAAGCCTGTCTAAGCCTGTGCTTAATGCTCCCCTGTACGTGCTCTGGAAGGAGGCATTCTCTTCAAGGCTGCAGGCAATGCTGCAATGGGCGGCAGTGGACCCTCAGCACCCTCTTAGACACAGTGCTATGCAGAGGCTTACAGGAACAGACCCGCAAATGGTGGAGATTCTGCAGCAGGCTCTACAGCTTAGGAGGCGTGAACTCCACACAGTCACAGTAGCCTCAAAGACTGCATACAGGGATATTGTACCCTACTCCACCAAAGTAGAGTCCTGGATGAGGATTACTCAGGGAGTGAACGAGCCTTTCCTAGATTTCTGTGAAAGACTGCAAAAGGCTCTTGAAAGGTCCAACCTTCCCACGGCTGCCAAGGGGCAGTGATGGTGGACTGCCTTAGACAGCAGTCGAATACGCTGACTAGGGAGATCCTGAAAGCGATCCCGGTAGGAATCCCAATTCCTCAGCTGCTCTGGCAGGTCATTCAGCAGTTTGCGCGTCGCGGCAGCTATGATAGCGGAGCCTAGGTGCCACCACTGTGCAAGGATCGGACATTTTAAGCGAGCATGCCCAGCTCGTGGAGGGGCCTCGGGAAGACAGAGCCTGGAAAGGGATAGAAGGCCACAGGGAGAGGCGTGCTGGAACTGTGGGAGGACAGGACATAGAGCGAGACAATGTAGGGGGCAGGGAAACGGATCCAGGCCGTGCCAGGGGGGCTGGCATGGCCCCAGCCTTCCATCTGCAGCCCCCGGGCCATGGGCTCAAGTGGTGCTGCAGGAGGGAAAACCAGGAGGCCACCAACAAGAGTCCAACGTGGCCCTGGCTTTTGAGAGACTGGTAGTGGAAGAGGTGCTGAGCACTTTGAGCAGGGACACAATTTTAGAAGCGATAACACTGAAAATGATGCTTGACACAGGCGCTGATGTTACAGTTATCACCGCGTGTCAGTGGCCACCAGGCTGGCCCACTTGCCGAGGCCAGGCACTACTAGGAGTGGGGGGAGGTCAGAATTCGGCCCGAAGTAAGGACGAAATTATGATAGAGATCCTAGATAGCCCCAAAGACCCTCAGGGAAAGAAGCTGCGGGTGTGGGTTCACCCGTATATCACAGAGCTGTCTTGCAGTTTATTGGGGAGAGACGCTCTGACCCAAATGAAAATTGAGTTAACAAATTTGTGAATGCGGCCACTGCTCGGGAAGAGCCGCAGGCCAGGCGAATAAGCTGGAAGACAAATGAGCCCATCTGGCAGGAGCAGTGGCCCCTAATTGTAGAAAAGTTACAAGCGGCTCACGAATTAGTTAAAAGGGAGTATGAGGCAGGCCACCTTATGCCCTCTGTTAGCCCATGGAATATGCCAATATTTGCTATAAGGAAAAAGGACAAGACGCAGTGGCGGTTGCTGCACGACCTCAGGAAGGTAAACAATCAAATGGAAATAATGGGAGCTCTGCAGCCCAGACTCCCTGTATTGTCCTTGATCCCGGAGGGGTGGGCCATAGTGGTTATCGATATCAAGGACTGTTTCTTTAGCATACCCTTAAGTGATGAGGACTCCAAGCGCTTTGCATTTACCCTGCCAGCTATTAACAAGGGGCAACCAGCCACGCGATGGCAGTGGGTGGTGCTTCCTCAAGGCATGGCCAATTCGCCCACCTTGTGCCAAATGTATATGGCAGAGGCCTTGAACCCAGTAAGGGATAGGTATCCTGAGGCGGTTCTCTTGCATTACCTGGATGACATTTTAATTGCTGATCAAACACCTGAGAGAGCCGAGAATTTGAGGCTAATAGTTACCGCCAGCCTTGAAAAACGGGGCTTGAGAATAGCAGAACAGAAAATACAGAGAGGCTCTAGCATTAAATATTTGGGATCTGTGATCTTGCCTACTGGGATTCAAGCACAACTCATCACCCTGTCTGCCGAGATCACGAATCTCCATGAGGCGCAGAAGTTAGTGGGAGCCCTCCAGTGGCTCAGGCAATTCGCTCCTGTCACTACAGAGGAGATGCACCCCTTTTACTAGCTATTGAAAGGCAAGCACCCTTGGGAGCCCTGCAGCCTAACCGCGGAGTGCCGCAGTCGGCTGAAGGATATTGAAGCGCGACTTAGAAAAAAGGAACTGGGATGTTTAAAGCCAGGGGTAGCAGTCCAGGCAGGCTGGGCATGCACCAAAGGAGGAGTGCTAGGGTTGATTTATCAAAAGGAGTCAGGCAGAGACAGACTTCTGATATGGGTATATCAGGGGGTGCAGACGACAGCCTTTTGCTCGCATTTAAAGGCATCCTGCAGAATGATTGGCAAGCTCCGGGAGACTTGCCTAACAGCCACCGGGAAAGAGCCTGATATCCTAGTGCTTCTATGGTCAAAGGCCACCCTGGAAAGACTGATTCAATCTGAGGAGGCCCTGCAGGTCTCCCTCAATAATTTCCAGGAAACCATACTCACTGGTGCAAAGCCCCCCTGGGCCGACTGCTTTGCGGTGTTGGATATGCGGCTTGAAACACCCGTGGTGCTCTCGCCAGCCCGTGGGCCCACATTCTACCCTGATGCCTTTAGTCGTACCAGTCAGGCCGCAGTAGTCTGGCAGGATGGGAACAATAAGTGGCACTCAATAACCTTTCAGTGTCACGGAAAAAGTGTGCAATAGTTGGAGGCAAAGGCAGTAGGTATGGCCCTGACCAAAGAGCCAGCTGGCAATATAAACATCTGCACGGACTCTATGTATGTATTCCGACTGCTGAGGGAGATGCGGTACCATGGCCAGGCTGGCAGTGAGATACCAGAAATGCTCTATGATGCCGCATGCTCGCGCACAGGCAAGGCGGCCATTCTGCATGTCCACAGCCACCAGAATCTCCCAGGCCCATTAGTCAGTGGGAATGCCCATGCGGATGAAATAGCGGGGCACAAGGTTTATACGCTCCAAAGGGCTAGGGAGCTCCACGACCTCCTACATTTAGGCTCAAGGGCTTTGGGTAAAGCTGTGGGGATATCCTTGGCAGAGGTGTGCTGGGTCGTAGCCACATGGCCACAGTGCCAAAACTCACCCCTATGGACTGCGGGTGTGAAGCCGCGCGGCCTAAGGGCTAACGAGATCTGTCAATCAGATTTCACGCAGTACTCGCCATTCAAGCCTAATGAGTACCTTGCCGTTACCATAGACACGTGCAGTGGTGTCATAATGGCCACCGCTCACCGCAGGCAGACTGCAGACATGGCCCTCCGTCACTGGGAAACAGTGATGGCATGGCTGGGAGTGCCACAGGAGATAAAGACAGACAATGGCCCTTGCTTCCGCTCAAAGACGACCCAGGCTTGGGCGGAAAAATGGGGCATTCGACTAAAGCATGGCATTCCTTACAACAGCCAAGGACAGGCCATTGTAGAAAGAGCCCACTGCACCCTCAAGCAACAGATAACCTGCCTTGGGGAGGGAGAGGGTTATACAGGAGGAATAGCCCAGAAAGAACAGAGAATTTTAAGCTGCGCACTGTACGTTCTAAACCATCATAGCCGAGGGGAAGGGTCGGAAGCCCCCATCCGAGCTCACTTCGAAAGAGGAAAGCAAGGAGCAGGACAAATGCCGGAAGTACGACTAAAGTTCCCCGGTAACGCCGAATGGGAAAAAGGATGGAGGCTGAGACTGTTAGGTCTTGGGTATGCTGCAGTGCAGATGCGTGGACGAGTGGAGTGGGTCCCAGCGAGGTGTATTAGACCAGAGCTAACCAAGGCCCAAGATGACTCTTCGCCCGCAGGATCGAATGGTCGGGAAGAAGAGGAAGAAGGAGGAGCAGGCGTCGCTCCTGCAACCAGAGAAGAAGTATGAAGAAAAATATGAAGGACCGCGTGAGGAAGAGGAGCGGCACAGGGCGCATGTGCAACGGACGTGCCCCCACAGAGAGTATTGTATTATATTGCTTACGCTTGCAATAATGCTACTCACGATAGGGCCGAGCCCAGCGCGAAGCCAGTCATGGTGGTGGAGGTGGGCCGAGCAGCACAACCAAACCGATTATTGTCTGCCGATGGATGTAGATAATCCTGGCGCGATATGCTATGCCTTTGTAGCCCATTCTGCCTTAAGCCGCCAGTAGACTTGCTTTGTGGAGGCTTAGTTCTATTTTGCGTATACCCTACATTGGAGTATGGCATCTGTGTCATGGGGTATCTGGTGCCCTATGTTATCATCCGTGAGCACGCCAGTAAACGCGTTCAGAGGAGTGTCTCGGCAGAACCCCTCAGTTTTAGTGCTGTAGATACAGATGGGTATAAATACTCCCAGAGAGACTGTCAAGGCCTGGATGGAAAGGTGATCAAGGTCCCATTCTGGAGCCTAGCAGCTACCAATGTTTTAACATTGGGAGTGACACCAGGTGTTGGGGTCATGAGAAACAGCGTAGCGATAGAAAAAACGGTATGCCAGCTCTTACTGACCAACAAGGTGCTTAAGGCGGTCATAGAGGACACTGATAGTCGGTTTAAGCAGACGGAGATTGTCCTGCAAGCCCACCACAAAGCCATATTGGTCATTATGGATGCTATCGTGCAAGGGGGATGTAAATACCTGGGCTTTGCTAATCGCACCTTCTGTTGCCTGACGACAGAGGATTATGGGAAAATAGGCAGGAAAAACAATGCCATCCATGAGTTGGCTAAGGACTTAGCTACCCATATAGTGCTGGAAAAGCAGGGATGGAAGTGGCTTGATGACCTAGTAAAAGGGGGATGGAACTGGCTGATGTCATGGTTCACCTGGAAATGGTTAACTGCCTTAGCTACCAGAATCATCATCATTGCAGTATTGGCCTGTTGTGGAATACCTATCTGAGTATGCTGGTAAGACAGCTCCGAAGAAACCTCCATCAATTGCTTCGTCCACGACACCAGGGAGATCAACAGGAGGGATCTTTAACATGGGGAGGGGGAGACGTGGATAAGATCAGCCTAAAGCTTAACCAAACTTAGGCTAAGAGAAAGGGCCCGGCGTCCGGAAGATTTCGCGATGTAACGGAAAGCGTAGGTGGCAGTTACAGTAAGAGCGACCGCTTAACCATATATATAGAAAAGGCGCAGCCACTTTCCCTCATCAGGTACAAACATCGCTTACTGGTGGCAGAGCAAACTTCCGCGTTCGAAAAGAGTATAACTGTAGTAAGCATCAAGCAATAAACGGCACTCCACTTCAACCACATTGGTGTCACGTGGTTTGTCCCCTCGTGGGGTAGGATGGCCCCGGAGAGCCCGACCTCCAGGTGAACACGCTACGTTGCCAGGAGCTGAGACCGAAGACAGCGAACGGCAACATTCATGCAAGCGTCTTTATCATGATGGCAGAGCGGGCAGCACAGGGCTTGTGTGACTTGCCTGTGCTATGTGTATTCCCTTTAACAGACCCTGTCAGGGTGGCAGAGAGGAAGAAAGGCCCCGCACGTCATGCCAAGGGCTGGCGGGCGCAGGGCGAGGAGGGGGCCCACCGGGCCACCCTGACCACCACTCGAGAGCTGCGCGGGGAGCCGAGCGGGAAAGGGCAAAATGCCAGACTTCTGAGGGCAGGAAAAAAGAGCCTTCCTATGGATCCAGATGGGACAGAGACATTTGCTGCAATTCAAAATATACCAGTGATAGTCTGAAACTGCACTTGGAGCATGTTTCAGCATGTTTTCCCCATTTTCTTTCTTGCATATTCTCTGTTTAAAATAGATACTTATCCTACCACACTGGTCCTATGAATGGAGACTTTGAAAAGGGCCACACATATTCCACCACAAGAAGAAAATGATAAAAAAGCTTTGAAATAACTCTAGCACTTGAGAGAGCCAGCTAAAAGAGAAACCAGAAGATCTGTCAGCACAGTTCTGTGTTTGTTAGATGCTTTTTGCAGGTAGAAAGTCATTTGAAGGTAAGTTTCAGATAAAGGGTCATTCCCCTGAGCTGACTTTTGGTCACAGCAAGGAAATAAATGCAGGTCCCCTTTGACATCACCACCGAATTTCCTTTGAGTTCCTCTGGCCCAAAATTACTGTGGATGTCAAAGAGTGTCCTGGCAGCTTCACTCATGCAGTCTCATGGCGAGTGTTCTGCTTATCCCACTGCTGCATGAGTATGGATGAGTACATTGAATGTAAACTGCCGACTGTTTTAATACAAATGCTTTAACTTGGCAGTATAAAAATGGCTCACATGCAGCTATTTCATCCAAATAAGTTCTCTAGATTCCTCCAGTATAACAACAAACTGTAAGGTTTATGTCGTAAGTCACTGCATGAGTAAATCATGTAAATTAATAGAAATCTCATTTTATAAATTAAATATTTATATAATGAAAATAGTCTTCAATGCATCCAGCTCCATTTCAAAAATGATAGATTTCACAGAATCACAGAATGGTTAAGGTTGGAAGGACCTCTAGAGATCATCTAGTCCAACCCCCTTGCTCCAGCAGGGACACCTGATTTGTTATCTTATTGTTTCTCTCCAAATTGGGTCACCAAAATAAATCTTTCCTTTTGCCATTTTACTTCATTTATTAATAAATATGTATTCATAGTTCTGTTTTTTTGAGCTGAACTGTACAAAATACTTGCTGTTTGCCACAAGAGTGCCCTAGCTGCCAGTATTTATTTATGCATGAGTGTTTGTGTATGAGTGAGTGTTTGTGTATGAGTGAGTGTATGCATGATTAATGTATGCAGTTGCTGTATGTGTATATATATGTATATCATATATGTTGTATGCATATTTTGTGAGTGTTGGGGAGAAAGACATAGGAATGTGCATTCGGTTCCACTTGTAGATCTTTGCACGGCATGAGAAAAGATTCAAGTAGCCAAAGAAGGTTGAGCAAAATTAGTGCTGCAGTCTCATGATCAGGGGACTGGCTGGGGAGTCCACAGTTCTGGTTTTGACTCCAAGCGCAGTTTCTATAAAGATATCAAAACAATTCATGCAGTAGGCTCCAAAGCCCTTTTTTTAAAAATATTATTCCTGAGTGCTCCAGTCATCTGGCTAAAGGCTTATTCCCTC